ATGAAGAAGGTGGGGGGCAGTTGTTGGTCCCATAGTCCTCCTATGTTCCAAGCTCTCTGGCATGTCGATCAATGGTGGCAATGAGGTGTTGCAGGCGCGGGAGGCAGTCCTTGGACGCAGGCCAGATTCATATGCAGAGCCCGTCGGATCGGGGATGGACGTGAAAGTCTGCCTGATTCGTTGTACCTGCGCTCCCTGTCAAAGTTTTGTCAATCTCTCTGATAGTGCAATCAGAAGGCGACATCTTCCTTCCAGCACATTGAGTTCAACTTCTGTCAAAGTGGGAGTGAAGTTACAACTGACCTTGACAATCGTGATTGGCTTGGGCGCCTTGCCGTTGACTTCATGGTATCTGGGCACCTCATTCGGATTCGACTGAGTTTGAGAGTATCTGTGTTGCTTGAATCCTGCTTTCAAAAGGGACTCCTCACTTCAGGTGCATTTCCTTGCCATTCTCCTGGTTCTTAGGGCTTCTCATGGTTAGGCGCTGCGGCCATCCCCCAAAACTTTTGCTTTGTCCCTCCCTGTCTTGGTCCGTTTACTTTCTTTTCCTCAAGGCTGGGGCCTCCCCTCCTGATTCAGGCTAGCTCTCGGGGACTCCCCCCTGTCCGCATCTTGGAGCTCTACCGGAAGGACGGCAGCAAGCGCCTGCTGGAGTGCGGAGGAGGCGCTCAGCCACGGGGCGAGGTCTGGGTCGTACATGACGTCACCGACCGCCATTCGGCCACAGAGAAGTTCGAGACCATCTTCAACTCGCCACGGATCCCTACTACGTCTTCGACGACACTGGGGTCCTGGACTGCAACGCAGCGGCACTCGAGTTTCTGGGGTACAAGAGCAAGATGGATGTTTTGGGGAAGAGCGCGAAGGACTTCAGCCCCGAGTACCAGCCAGACGGGCAGCGCACGGCGGAGAAAGCAAAGGCCAAAAAGGCGCTGGCCAAGGAGACGAAGAAGGTGCTGCGCTTTGAGTGGCTACATAAGCGGGCCAACGGGGTCCTGACTCCCACGGAGGTCTCAATCAAGTCGCTTAACCTGGAGGGGAAGGAGGTCTTCATCAGCATCTGGCACGACCTCACCGAAAGAAAAGCAGCGGAGGCCGCACTCCGGGCGGCAAAGGAGGACGCAGAGGCTGCAAACCAGGCAAAGTCGCAGTTCTTGTCCAACTGCAGCCACGAGATTCGGACGCCGATGAATGGCGTCATTGGGGTCGCGGAGCTGCTGTTGGATACGCCCCTCAGTGCGGAGCAAAGGGAATCTGTGGAGACGATCCGCAGCTCTGGCGACTTACTGCTGAAGCTGATCAACGACATCTTGGACCTGTCCAAGATCGAGGCAAAGAACCTGCAGCTGGAGGCGCTCACCTTCGGGCTGCGGGAGGAGGTGCACCAGGCGCTGGCGCTGCTGGACCAGGGCGCCCGGGAGAAAAGCCTGGCCTTGAGCCTCCACGTCAGCGAGCAGGTGCCCAATCTCGTGGTGGGGGACCCCATGAGACTGCGCCAGATCTTGCTGAACCTGCTCAGCAACGCGCTCAAGTTCACACATGCTGGGGGGATCCATGTGGAGGTGCGGCTGGCGGAGGGAGAGGGGGGGGCAGCGGGAGCTGATGGAACAAGTGTAGAATACGGATTGGAAGTTGGAGATGCTGTGAGAACTTTGGAGGAGTGTTACCTGGGCGATCGGAGCGACGGCTCGGATGCACAGAGTGCCAGAGACGCCCAGAAGCGGGTGTTGAATGAACAGAGGCAGTCAAGCAAGCGGGCAGGTAGTGTTTCAAGGGGGCCAAAGCCTGCAGAGACCGTTCCGTACCTGGCAGGCTCGGGCATGACGAGTACGCTGGTGGAGTTTGAGGTTCGTGACACTGGCGTGGGTATCGCAGAGGAGGCGTGGGGGTGCATCTTCAACGCGTTCATGCAAGCAGACAGCAGTACCTCCCGGCGCTACGGTATGTGCGCTGCTCGGTTTTCCCTCCTGTAGCCAATCCACTTTTGCAGTGCTGCGTTGAAGCAGCAGTGAGCTTGGGCACCATTTGCAGCAAGATCTGGTCTAAGATGGTCATAATGAGTCCATGATGTGGCCGGATTCAGGAGGTAATCCTGTCTGATAGTAACGTCGGACTTCCCACGGACTAAAAGCTCTATTGCTCACAAAATTGATGTCTATTTACCATTCAATCCTATTGGCCTCAGCTGTGCGTCAGAAGGCCAAATGTATGCCATGGTGGGCAATAGTCTTCTGCTGGGCGGTTGTTCCTCCATGTTGGAAAGACGTTTTCTCCAGGTCAACATTTGATAGACTTTCAAAGAGCTCCTTGCATTCTCTGCCTACTCACGCCTCTCCTCCAAACCTGCAAATGAGCGGTCACTGACATCGACTTCTGTCTGCACTCTGATAGTCTGCACTCTGATAGAAGCTAGATCGTTCTTCAAGCACTGCTTTTGGACAACTTGTGCCTGAGGCATCTCCCAGTCTTAGCGTTTGTGCGCCATCCTCGTGTCAAAACAGAGGTTGAAGTTCGAAGGCCAGTGAGCTCGACAGGCTCAAAGTACCTTAAGCCTCATCTCCAATTTGTGCAGGTGGCACGGGCTTGGGCTTGTGTATTTGCGAAAGCCTGGTACAGGCCATGGGGGGCCGCATCTGGCTGCACAGCGTTGTTCAAACAGGGTCGTCGTTCTTCTTCACTGTCAGGCTGGGCGTGCCCGCTCAAGACCCGGTGGCGAATGGCCAGGTAGTGGAAGCGTCGTCTCTCTTGGGAACCAGCTAAATATAGTGGGCGTCCTTCATAGGTAGTCAAGAACTTGCATTGGTTGACGCTGTACGTTGCCTGCTCTTCCGGATTCACCTCCTGCTGTTCCCTATTTGCAAATCTGGCTCAGTCAATGATAAATTTTGAACCGGCCGGAGCGCTGGCTGCTTGCTAAACTGTCAACAAGCTTCCACTGTGAATGATCTTTAGTTATAGTCTGGTCCCACACATCCCCTTGCCGTTTTTGGTCGCACAGGATCGCCTGGAACAATGTCCTTGAAGACACGTTCTTTGTGAATTTGTTGGTCCTTGCTGGAAGTTCATGCGACGACACATGTAAAATTGGCGGATCTGTGTGCTTCCAGCTCTCTGCAACGGAGGGCGCCACTGCAAAGAGTGTGAGCCGGGTCCAATCACCGCTGGTAGAGCTGCCTGATGGCCATGAGTTGGATCCCCAGTCGACTCCAGAAAGCACGGTCAAAGGATTGCACGTGCTTGTGGCAGAGGTGAGGCAATTGTCCAGCTTTCGGCTGACAGAGACTTCGGGATAACGAGACTCTGGCTTCCTTCGATTGTCATGTGTCACAGCTGGGTACGAACTGTGAATGCCGAAGTGTGTATCCGGTACAGTCCCCGAAATCAAATGCGTTCTCTGCAGTGAAGACGGGTTCGTACAGTTGCTTCTGTTCCTCATGCCCATTTCCAGAAGGAGCACGAAGGCATGGATGGGCTGCCTTTAAAAAGCTGCTGTATGGGCCGGAAACTGCTGCTGCTGCAGGAAACGTGCACTTGTCGACTTTGGACATAGTAATTCCCCTCCTCTTTCGAGATGGACGAGTGTCTTCTTCGAACTTCCAGCATACCAGCTTCAAGACGAAAGGGCGAGCCCTTGGTTTCAAGATGAAAGGGCGAGCCCTTGGTCTTGCGGAGCTCGCAGATCTACCTGAAGTCTGCGCACAGTCACTCGCCTTCTGTCCTTGGTGCAGGACAACCGCGTGAACCAGATGGTGGCCACCCGAATCCTGCGGAGCCTGGGCTGCACTTTTGCCGTTGTGGACAATGGCAGGAAAGCCGTTGCAGCGTGCATGGCAGGGAACTACGACGTCGTCCTCATGGACTGTCACATGCCGGACATGGTAAGCTTTGACTGAAGCCTCTCGTAGTCCTGGGCACACCGTCTTTTCTTGGAAGGATGGCAATGCTTCTGGACTCTGAATTGAGGGATGCTAGTGTGCTCAATTGTTTGGTCCTCTGGAGTCAATAGCGTTTTCTCTGAGCGGCAGCAGCAGGAAACAACGTAACCTAGATCGACCAATGGGACGTCTCTTGACCATCAAGTCTGCGATATCCTGGCATCATCTTCAATTTTGGAATTGTTGGCCTTTGGAAGTGTAACGCCCTCACTAGGCTAGACTCGGGGCGCCTGCCGGATGCCAAAGGTCTTGGCATTCAACTTTCGTTTGCTGGACACTGCTTATGAAGTGTATCTCTACAAAGGTTTCATGGCCAGCTGCAAATTTCCAGGACGGCTATCAAGCCACCCAGCAAATCCGGATAGATGAATGCAAGCAGGGGCGGCGGCACCTCATCATCGCCCTTACAGCGTCTGCCTTGGAGGGTGATGCGCAGAAATGTATGAAAGCAGGTGAGAGGCTGAGCAGGGTCACAAGCAGAGGCAAACTGTGGTATCTTGCGCATTTTGCGAGGCCCAGCTCGTTGCTGCCCAACTTTAGAACGTCGACTCCCGGGGGTTAATTCCCAATCTGGTCGTTTTCGCGAGGTTGCGCAGGAAACCCTTTCGCTTTAATTGCGGCCTTGCTTGCAGTATTCCAACACTTGATCGCTGTTCCTTCAAAGTCGCGTCTACAGACTTCCTCAATATCCAAGTCTTGCAATCTAGTACTTGGTAACCTAGTATCTGTGGCGTCATATGCTTTGACTTTGGAGTGCACACGACCTCTGATGCCTGAGTACGCCGGCATTTCTTGTGATCTTACTTTCCCTTGCCAGGGTTCATCTTTGGTGCCCAGTTTGGCCGTACCAATACCTGTCGATCTAGAATCCATTCAAGCATTTGCTGTGGAGTGCAATGGCGCATGCGCGCAACTTGGTCTAGGGTAGATTGACACTGACCCACAGCTTGTCTTGCTGTCCTTCTTACTGTGACCGCTAGTACAGGTCAAAATTTTCGTGCTTCGGACAGTGCGCTTCTCCTCTTGCAGGAATGGACGCGTTTCTTTCAAAGCCTGTTCGCCCAAATGACGTCAAAGTAGCCATAGAAACCCACCTCAAGTCCTTAACTGCGGGCAAGACCGACTCGCCGACTTCCACGTTGGAGCTTTGAGAGGAGAAAGGAGCACAATATGAAGGTCCTCAAAACGCAATGTCTGAGGACAGGTGGTATCTCAGTGTGTAATAGACAGTGAAGCGAACTCAGGGAGCTCTGTATTATGTAATAGGTATTCCCGATGACAGTCAATGATCAATATTAGCCCGTAGGTACACGAATCATGCATCTTGGTAGAATGGTAGCGTTGGTACCGACGAGGCCTTTTTAAGTCTCCTTTAATGAGGTAGATGAATGACAAAGACGACTTGGGCTATACAAGATCTGTAGAAAACGTTATTGATGGGTAAGCCGTGCATCGCAAGATGCAGCGGCATATGTGTGTAGTTTCGCAGCTTCCAAATAGTTCGAGAAGCATTGCTTGGAGGGGCCATTCGCTCGTGTCTGTTGTTGTACATTAATAAACAAGCCGAGTTAAACATGTTTCTACGTAGCTGAAGAAGATTGTTCCAACGAGGTGCATTGTGCTAGATTGTGGACGTAACTCCAAATCGAAGATAGGGTCACAAAGGGGTCCGCCATGCGCAAAAGTTTCATTGCAGCGTTGTTGACGTGTCGTCAAGAAACTGTTGCAATGACGTCAGCAGAATGTTCCCCCAGAAGAGTTTGGCAAAACCTTGGACACTTGGACAACCTGTTTGCGGTCGGTTGATGAATCCGGATCTACACTCTTGAAAGGAGCGCTAAGAGGTACCGCTTGAACAACTTTCAGATATAGCAAGCAGAAGCTACAATTGCACGGAGCGAGCATACCTGTTCCGACTCCGTGCGATTAAGCTCGAACCCGAGATCGATGCGGCAGACCCCAAAGAACTCGCGCAGCTCCTCCGAATCCCCCTCATCGTCCCAATCCCACGTAGGATCGTCGTCATCAGGACGGTCGCCCCACTCGCTCGACGTGGCAGACCGGTCTCCGACCTCCGGGCTCGACTCAGTGGCTTCATCTGCCTCTTGCACGTCCTCGTCAGACGACGATGACGAGTCGGACGGCAACGTGACTCTAAGCCGGCTTGTCCTGAGGGGCGGGGGCTCTGCGCTGTCATCGCTGTCATCAATGCGTTTGGTGCGCTTGCGCCCCCCCCTGGAATCGATCTGGCGACTCCGTGTCCGACTGCCCAAGCTCCGCGTCCATCCGAGCGTACTCTGAGACCGAGGCGATGGGAAGATGCGATGAGTCGTCCGAAAACTGGCGATCCTGCGAGGTCTCCTCGTCGGAAGATTCTTCCTCGCGGTTGAACTCCGCGTCCTCAACATCCTCTCCATCGGAGTCTGATTCGATGCTCGTGTTGTCATTCTCCTGGTAGAAAGAGAGAAGACACATTCAATCGAGATAAACGTCTTGGATTGCATAAACGTTCCTTCGAAAGATAAAAAAATATGCTTTCGTATCATTCGAGCACTTTGATCGTACCGTCAATCAAGCTTTTTCGAAAATTCTGACTTGACTTCGAACAAATCCGCATTAGCAGAAGCGTCGTCTGGGATAAGTCCATTGGAATTCACAACGCGTTCGTGATACGGATGTGTTTGAACCTGAGGTTCACAAGCCACTTTCAAGAAGAATCCTTCAACGTGCAAGTCTTAAGAATTGCAGTATGCCATGCCCCTGTTTGGCTGAACAGAGTACAAAATCTTTCTGTCCGCTGTGCGGTAAGAAGTATCCATCATTTCTTAGAGTTGCACGCCACCTACATCTGATCAGATCAGGCTTGGCAGATCTGATCTGATCAGGCTTGATCAGGCTTGTCTGCAGACCCGAGAAACCCGGCTTCCAGTCAAGACTTCGATGCCAAACGATAGCGAGAGGCACCTTGATACAACCTGTCCCGCTACAAATAAGAAGCCTGCCTAACATGTCCACTGCACGTGCAAATAGTACCCCAAACAGCAGGGTCGATCAGCCTGCACGTGATCTGTCCCCCAGAAACTCGTGCCACGGGTGCACACAGTCCGTAAGCAACTTTCAACAGCTGCTATTAGCGACAGCTCTGAACATCTGGGTAACCACTCATACCACCATCTCGAAATAGCTTGCAGATCAGCCGACAGCACCTCTAAGACAACCACCTGGCAAGATAAGGTTGCATGACACACCAACACTCACGGCAGAACTTTGCAAAGAATTCTAAAGCTATTACTGATTGCGTATTGTTGTAGTACGGTAGTTAACCGTAGGGGTAGTGTTGACCGCGGTTTGACCGTGTTGACCGGCTGACTTCGACGAAGTCTGGTCACGTGGGCCGCGCGCATTTGGGAACGGACGAGCAGACCAGACGTGCTTGATACTGTAGACGCTCATATCGACTTAGTCTGCTAGTTATAGTCTAGGTGACAAAGTAGCAGACCGCTAGACTGATTGCAGGACACAGGGCAGATTCGCAAGAGTATACGGAGGACAAAACCAACTTGTAAGATTCATTCACTTCCAATTCGCTTGCATCAACGCTGTTTCACGACACGTATGCTTAGAAAACCATATGCACGAGCTATCAGATGAAAAATGAAGCGAACGATGAACTTTAGCGGGAATTTGGGCCAGTCACGAGTCTAGGAATGCCAAAATGCAAGGCTGCATTCACCTAGACTCACCTGCATTTGTAAGTCATCCATATGTTCGGAATCTCCTTCTCTGCTCTCCATGTTCGTCCTATCTCTCATGATCAGGCGCACTTGCAGCAAATGCGGAGGCTGAAGCTGGAGCCGAATGCACCCTGATCACTCCAACAAATGGAGCCCCTTGGTGGCTTCTGACGCTACCATCGAGTCGTCAAGACCATCGCTGCATACATTGAGAACAGGGAGCATTACGGTGAGGCTCCCTGCCATGCTCAATCCTCAAGAAAGAACTCGAGACTTGGGTTCACCATACGATTAATCATAGCAACATTGAAGTCAGCAGTAGATAAGGCTCTTTACGCCGCTGTACTCGGGCTGTTGGGAGGCTGTTGACGTCAGCAATCCGGATGATCGAACTTTCTGCCCCGAGCTTGGACACCCTGAACAGCGTGCCAGGGGCGTGCCAGACGATTTGTATGGTCAACGACAACCACTCAAGAGACCACTTGGACAGACCCCACTCAGATACTCCACTTAAATAGTCATAGTTCCGATTGCATGATGTCAGCACTTTGATCAGAACCCCTTATGATATTCTGGGACTGTTTGGCCCGGGTCCATATATGCAGGTCTAAGTTGAGGTGTAGATAACGTCAGCATTCCAATCGATGAAAGAAAGCTTGGCCAGAGCTCGAACACCTTGGACAGCCTGGGCAAACAATGTGCATGGACGAAGTTGGACAGACCCTCCTGGAACGCTTCACTTTATCAGCTCTGGAGTACGAAGAATGAGCTGAAAAAGGAGGAGATGCACTATTGGTGCATGCATGCTGCCTGCCAGCCCGGGCTTGAAGATCAGTGAAGCACACCACTTCCAAGGGGCATTCCGAGCTCAGATTTGCGCCTGCTAGCTGGCTTAAACCAGCGCGAGCTGGCTAGGGTTGCCGACATAATCGAGCTTATTTAGCTAGGATCCCACTTCAAGTTAGACCGCTTAGCAGCCATCTCTTGAGCACTATGCCAGTCTGATCAGAAGCATGTGCAGTTTGGGCTGCCAACCGAGCAGCCCGCCCTGTGTCTTTAAAGAATAAAAACGTACTCACCTTTTCAAGGGCCGAGGGCCATGGCATCCTCCTGGGGTTTGATGCCAACCCAGGCTGATGGAGAAGAGTTGTCGCTTGCAGCCACTGGCAGCTTCAGCTGTTGGACGCTTGTGAGCACACTGTCAGCGTTTGCAGCCTGGCTGCAAATGCTGCTGGCACCACTACGGTAGGGCCAATTATTAAGGAAGCAATATGCCCATGGGCTTGAAGGCGCTAGCTTTCAGCTGAGAGGGACTGAAATGATAGAAAGTATTGAAAAAAGGTCTGCAGGAAATTGCTCAACTTTGGGATGAATGAAATGGCCACCCACCAGTCAGACCAAGTGTTTCAAGTACAGGCTAGCCAGGCACCTCTCCTTGCTCTCTTCTGCTTACGTGGATGCGTTTATTCGTTCTTCTGTCTGGTAATAATATGCTGTAAGAAGCTTTTTAGCTTCCGACTGAGTGCTGATTCAGACGAAAGCTTCCAGAACCTGCAGAGCCTGCTGAGCTAGACTGCATGCCGAGCGGCCGGCCGGCCCGCCAAGTTTCATATTCTGCAACTTCCTGAAGAATTATCGACGGTGACGTGTCCTTTCTTTTTCTGAGTGACACGATCGGACGGCCAAGCCAGCGTGGCCTGAATGACAGCTGTCACCGTGGCACTGCGGCAGTGACTGCCCAGCCTCACTGAGTCGGTGGCTTAGTCAAAGAATGCTAAAACTGCGCGCGGCGCTGGCGATCGGACGGCAAAGTAATTTGTCGGACGGCAAAACCTCATGACTGCGACCATGGTTAGAGGCTGGTTAGCGGACGACGGTTAGCGGTACTGACCTGCACTGGCCTGTGGCTATTGGGGGCGACCCTAGCGCGGCGCGGCAGCGAGCATCGCCGGAAGGGGGGGGCACGTGGCGGTTTGTGGCTGGCAAAAATAATGCTGTTCATCAGATGGTTAGTT